TTTTTTTGCTGATCTTATGATTATATGTTTATTTATATTATATATCACGTGTTGATTTAAATAATTATGTAAAAAAAACAAAAATAATTATTAAAAAGGAACTGATAAGTAATGTTGATCAAGTCATATGATATTATCATTATTTTTCTCTACTACTGTATATATAGTTTTTTTCTCATACAAACTAAAATACTTTACCTTTAAACTTATAAACATCAACTTTTGTATAATCAACTTTATATCACTACATTATTTATTGTAATGTATATCAACAAATACTTTATATATATATAGTTTTTTTTGTAAAACTTTTTTTATTTTTAATTGAGCAACATTTTTTTATTTTTTTTTAAAGAAAAAACTTTTTATTTAAGATATAGGTTACAAAGTTTTATTAATTGATAAACTCTAACCTAATAACAGTTTAACCTAATCATGAAATATTCAAGAAAAATAATTCACATTTATGTAAATACTCCAAAGTTATGTATTAATGCTTTTGCTATCAAATGACAGCATAATGAAGCAGATTGCCTATAATATCAAATACAATTATAAATGAAAATATTGGCAGTATAAATATTTTTAATGAATAAGGTTTACCATTTTTAATTGATGAGAAAGACAAAGACTTGCTAACCAATGTATTAAATCTTTAATCGATAAGAAATATAATAAGAAAAGTGAAAGCTCAATCGTTGAGAAATATAATGAAAAAGTGAAGGCTCAATCAATAAAGAATATAATAAGAAAAATAAAGGCTTAATCAATAAGGAGTATGATAAGAAAAGTGAAAGCTCAATTAATGAAAACAATGAGAAATATGATAAAGAAGATGCTGATGAGTTAATAATTATAGCTTATCATTTTTAACTATATATTCTAATAAATTTTATTTTAAAATTCTTTATATAAATCATTACTTGATTTTACAGAAGATTTGTTAAACACATAAAATAATAATGTATTAGAAGAGAAATCTTCTGATTATGAAGGGTTTGATGACAAATATGATTCATATTTTCCAAAATTTATATTAGCAATAATGTTTTTTGGATTATTAAGCATATAATATATAAGTATTTATATTAATATTGTTGCATTATATATAATATTAACGTAATATTTACATTTTTTTTACATAACAACATCTGTATATAAAGACCTTACTAAAATTCTGAAATATTCTAAGTTTTGTAAAGATGATATTATTATGAATATTGGTCATATTTGTAAATAGAGAAATAGGCTATCTTTAGTTAGGGTATGTAAATACGATATACTGATTTATAAGCAAAAAACTCTATTTACATCAGAATCTACTAAGAAAACATTTACTATTTCTTTATTGATATATTTAAAATATATACTAAACAATCTGTCACTCATACTAAAAATATATTTTGAATCAGAAATAATTGCAAAAGAGAAACATAAGTTTTAGTATAATGATTTATGGCAGAATTTACTATTGTTTAGGAAATATGAAATAAGAAATGATAATGAAGGTGAATAATATTTTTATAGTAATATATTATTAAAAATATTGAAATAACAACTTATCTTTCATTAGTAACCTATAATACTAGTGATTTTCTAATTTACCATCAACAAGTATCAATATTTATTTGTCAAGTGTATAGTGTAATATTAATAAAATGGATAAGACGTATAAATTAAAAGTTAATATAATCTTAATGCATCAAAATCTTCTTAATTGCCATTCTAGTAATAGTTAATATAGTTATAAAAATGATAAGAAATTATAGTTTGTTAAAGAAAAAATAAAATTGATTGACTTAAAATATATAGACTGTCATGTTATTATATGGCTATGTAACCTATCAGAACCTGCAGAATATGAGTACTATATTCAGAAAATATTATATCATTTTAATAATTGATGAAAGTATCATGATATATTAAAAAGACATTGATTACCTTATGAATATATTATATTCAATCCATCAACACAAAATATACCTATTTTAAAAGTTTTCTTAATATTTATTTTAATGATTTAGTACTTACAAAAATGATATAATCAACTCTTGTTATAACGAACTTTATGTCTTAGACCTCAACTTCACTATAAGGCTATAGTAAAAATTTTAAGAAATTTGATTGGCCAATTTGCTATAATAAGAGTATTTTTATTATATTTGTTCAAAAAATTTGTTATAACAAGAGTTCACAATATCAAGAGTTGACTGTATTATTTTTTAGGAAGCATATATTTGCAATTCAGAAACATGCTATTGTCTTTCTAAAAATTATTCAAGAATAGTTTTTTAATTAATTTTAGTTTATTTAGGACAAATTTTGATAACTTCATTAAACCAGTAATCGAAAATATATGATGTTTTAAAAATAGTCTTATTATGAAAACACTATATAGAATACTTAGGTTATTAGAGGTCTTAGTTGTATAATTGCTAACCTACCATAGGGTAATAACTTAGTAAACGTAAAAAGATATTGAGCAACTCATAGTTGTCAAACATGTAATATTATAAGAAATAAATTTACTAATCTATGTTACGATTATATAGGAAATTCACATTTTCATTAAAATATAGAATAACAATTTTTAGAGATTGAAAGTCAATGCACAAAACTGCTAAAGAACAACTAGTTACTGAATATAGATTGGTAATATCTTAAAAACATTTTGATGTACTTAAATGGAATTAACATATCTATATAAAGTTCTGAACGGTTTAGTTTAGTCCAGATTAGATGCCAATCCATATCTGAACCAAAAATTTCAGTTCAGTTCAATTCAGATTATTAATCTTAAAAATGCCAATTTGAATCTGAACCAAACTGCAGATCGGTAAAAATTCGAACTGAACCAGAATTTTCAGATTAATCTGAAATTATAGTTCAATTATATAAATAATCTGCAATTTATATGTGAAACTCTAGGAAAATTGCAAAAAATCACGAATTTCTCTTCAAAGTTCACAAAATTCGAAGAGAAATCGCATTTTTTTGTGACTCTCTAAGAGTTTGCAATAATTTTGCAAAATTCTAAGAGAAATCACAAAAAATTGCGATTTTCTAAGGTTTTCGCAATTTTTTTGCGAAATTCGAAAAGAAACCGTAAAAAATTGCAATTCTTTAAGAGTTTCACTAAATTTTTGCGATTCTCTTAAATAATTTACAAATTTTGTGATCCTTCAAAAGTTTCGCATATAATTGAACTGAACTTTCAGATTAATCTGAAATTATCAGTTCAGTTCAGATTTTTTTCAGTTCAGATTAAAATTATAATCTGAAAAAAATCTGAACTAAACCAAAAATTTTCAGATCAATTTTTATGCAATCCAAAACTGATCTAAACCAAACTGATCTGAAAAATCTTCAGATTAATCTAAACTGTTCAGAGCTTTATCCAAATACCATAAGATGCATACTATTCTATAGCTAGAAAAGCATATATTCTATTAGAAGTAACATTTCATGTACTTGATGTAAATAGGGAAAAAGACTTTATAAAACATTGGAAAAATATTGAACAGCTGATTAATTGTAGTCAGATTCCAAATCCATTGCAACATCGCTAAAGTTTCATATTTTTTGATGTATTGAGGTTTTGCAATGTTAATGCCATTTATAATTAGGAGTTTCTTAAAACCTTGTCACATAAAAGCAGAGGTTTTAAATAAATGGCATGCAGACTATAGAATGACACAAACTACAACTGTATCTTGATTGTGTATAATTTAGTCTATTGAAATTAATGTATTAAAGATTGCATTTTTAACTACTATGATAGAAAGCATTTATCAAGAGTTAAGCAAATTACTTGAAAGTGAATATGAAATTCTTATACAAGTAAATTTTATATAACAATTTAAAATACTTAGTTATTTATAAAATTAATTAATATATATATTTTATAGTTGTTTTCAGAAAATTTTAACAATTTACCCAAATTGAATGTAAATATTCACCATCCACAACATGCTCATAACTTCAGAACTCTTTTAAACACTACTGTAGATATAAAAGAAATGGTTCATTATACATTCAAGAATATGGTTTCTTAAGAAGCAACTTGTTTATCTGCTTTCCGAATATATTCTGTTCTTTATTCACTGAATCAATCCAAGTAGCCTTATAAATTAATTTTAATCCTCCTTCACCAATAATGATTTGTAATACTTAATATACTAAACATTTTCAAATGAGGCTTCTGCATTTAACTTTCTAAAGGAAACGCCCGTGTAATACAAAAGAACAACGAGAACACAGATTATTATTTTAGGCACCCAGTGTTCCAATTGATTACTCATCGGATCTGTTAATCACAATTATTTTGTAACTGCAAAACTTGTGGTCAAATAGACTTAACATTATTATGAAAAAATAAACTTTGGACTAGAGAATTCAATGAATATTAATTTTGATTCAGAAATTCTTGAGATTATGGACTTTTATTTTAAGTGGAATGTCACCGAGATTGTAAGGCGATATTTTGTAAATGTCATCAAAGAAATAAATCTGGTATTTACAACTTCATTGATTCATCTGGACTGGTGACAAGTGATAATACTAAGGTACGAGTATCACTATCTGCTTTTGTTTATTTTATTAATTGTCATTCAATAAATATTTTAAATGGTATTATAACTTTGTAAATAAGGATCGAGAAAAGTTTATATTTCTTATTTATCAGCTATTCGCAATTTTAATTAATTTTAATTAATTAAAAAGGATCGAACGGATTGAATTAATTTTAAAGATTAGCTTGCTCTCACTTGCAGAAAGTCGACTTAAATCAAAAAAAAAATCCAAACAAAGATTCATCTTAAAATCTCTTGTAAGCAAATATGAAGACTTCCTCTTTGCTTAATTTTGATCAGTAAGATATCCTGGATTCCAATTATTAATTTAAGTTATATTTTGACAGTGTCATAAAATTTATTAAAATTATTTTGAATTTAACATATGTATATTGTTTGTCTAAGTATAAATCAACTTTTCGATCAATTTTAATATGATAAATGTATCCTCTCGTCAATTATCTCTTTTTTTACACCATTCTCCCACCAACTTGCACACATGCGTATCTCCGTGAAGTCAGAGTTATGCCAGAAAATTATAACTCTAAGTCCTTCTTTCAGTTGCTTTTCAGTCGGAAAATGAGGTTGCGTATCAAAGTGATCTTCACAAGTAAAATGAACGACCCATATTTCATCTGCGGATAGTTCTTTGCCATAGGTAAGTGCTCGTGCAAAGTGTTGATTTGCAAGTGGTATTGTCACTGTTGCCATAATTTTGAGAATAATCATTTGAACATTTTCCTCATGTTTGACCTTAATTACTAAGTCACTATAATTGTGAACGGGTTTGCTGCCTTCTTTATATATTAAATGCCATTGGCCGGTGACTAAAGCACCGATTTCCCTGCCAAGCCAATTCGTGAGAATCCTGTTTAATTCTATGTCGTAAACGCTTTCACGCGGTACCAGCTTGTTTAAACATTCATCTACATATACGTGTGCCGTTTTAAATGAGTAATGAAATGCTCTAGAAATAATTTCTCTATCGAAGAAGCGAACTGCTTCCTTTAAAACTTCTAAAGTTTTTAATTTATCATTTTGTTTAGGGACATGAATCTTTGGGGCGAGCGGAAATAGGTCGGAAATTACATATCGTCTGATAAGTGAATCCAAGAGAGAAGAATACATTTTGTACGTATTGGCATCAATGTGAATGAGGACACCTTCAGATACTAGAAACTTGGCTAATTCAAGTTCTTTATTATCCATTATTTTCACATCACTGGAATTACCCAAAAATCGAGTACGAAGAAGGTTCACGGCGCTAATTGCATCTTTCATCTTTAGGGAATCGATCATTCTTTTAAATGTACGGTAATTTGAAATCCAAACTCCCAATTTCTCATGTTCATAATGTTTCCAACTCGCATAATCCAGCTTATTAGGCACGCTCTCGATTAAGCGTCCACAAAGATTTATAAGCCCCGCATGTCTGTTAAAAATTAAAAAATTAATAAATCATAATTTGCTTAACAACGATTTAGCTGCTTAACATACCCGTTTGTTTGTATATGGATATCCTTGATGACCTGATCATCAATTTCTTTACTGTAATCATTCATAAACTCTTTAAATATTGATCTGACCTCATCTTCGGTAAAATTTGGATTTTGAAAAGCATCACTAACGTTGAACGGTGACACTGACCGATATGTAGTGTTTAAATTTAGTATACTGAATGTGCCGATCCCGACGACAGATTTTATTGCATAGTAGGGGCTTGTTTTAATAACGCTCATGTTTGTCAGAAACGAGTTACAGACTTGAACGTTATTGGGAGAGAGCAAAGTATCGAACTCGTCAAAGAATAGAACTACTTTTTTGCCAGGTTCTTCATAAAAATAATTCCAAATCTTTGCGGTGAGCGCAAAAATTTCCATAATATCTTCAAGCGTCCTCATAGTGGGTATTTCAAACGGTTCATGTTGTTTAATTTTCCCTAACTTACGTTTCTCAGCATACTTGCTATCAAGATTCATTTTAATATTTATGGCGACATTTTCCCAAAATCGATCAACATCGTCGACAGTTAAATCACAAAAAGCCACGCTATCCGTTAAGATGAAGAAGAAAGAATATTGTAAATTCGTTTGATCGATAAATTAATGATCACATATTTAAACCAATTGCTTACTAGATACAAATGTATCCTTTTTCTTCCAGATCATCCATAACTTGCATCGTCCGAGTGGATTTTCCGGAGGCACGCGCTCCATGTAATAACACATAGTCACCTTTACAAATCAAATCAATTAATTCTCCGCTCTGTTTTAATGGATTCACATAATAGACGTTTTCACGATCCCATGACATGATTGTACTATTTATTGAAAACTTCTTTCTTTTTGGTACTGCGCTAACTGATGGTTGGAAAAGATCCATAATGATGAGAGACGAGTAAAGATTAAAATAGCAACAAAGATTCTTACTTTTTTCATTTGGTTTCCTATTTCTTGTCTCTAATGATAATTGAAAGCACAAGTTAAAATAGATAACGAGTAAGCGAAACTATGAAATAATAATTTGCAATGTTGCATCACGTTCGGGTTGTCTGATTATTTATGATGACATAAAGGCTTACCTTGATGCTTACTTCCGTCGTCTTAATTGGATTGAAGACAAAGTAAAGTTAGTTAATATAACAAATTTGAAGCCACAATATTTTCACGACATACCAGAAGTTAAGAAAGACATTCTTAAAAATTCAATTTTTTCCTCAGGTGATGGGCATTTTTCAAGTACACACATCACTTTATTTATTTCTTGAGGATTTTTATAGAAATGAGTGTGTAGAATACTCTTTTCTTTTTTCTCTAAAGAAAGGTCAATTATGATATCATAAATATCAGACATGTTGGAAAAGTTTTTTTTGACACCACGAAAAAAGAATTAATAAAAATGTTTTATTGAAAAAATGCGCTTTATGTTATAAACAAACTCGTGTTTATATGTAAAAATTGCAATATTTCACGCGGTTATCATGTGCTAGTTCTCGTGATCACTAGATCATAATTTTGGTATTACAAATTAGCTTAAAATGATTCAATAAATAATAATCATTAAGTTACGATACGATTAACCGACAGCTTTTGCACAAAACCTGTTCAACAGACCATTGGCCGATATCCTTTTCACAGACACCTCTACATTTTATATGGGAGATTTTCTATTAAAATTGATTCAAGAACATAGTAAATCATATATACAGTATATCCGTAACGTGATTTAAATAGCAAACCGCCTTATATTTAAATGGTATTTATGCAAAAAAACTTTTAGTACAAAATATAAAAAGTTTTCAATTATAAATTAATAGCAGCTATATTTTTTCTTTATAAATTCTAAAAACTAATAAATGTCGAATTAAGGAATAACTTTACATTTAGTAACCAAAGTCAGCTTTTAAAGGAATATTACTTCGATTTTCCCGATGATGTTAAATGTGTATGTAATGTTTTCGCTAAGATGCTTCACGATTAGATTAGTTGCCTATTTAGGTAGTAAGAGTAGCCTAAATTCATCAAAACTATTTTTAGTCATTGTTAAGAAGATTTTTAAATTTTACAATGTCTGCGCAATCAAAATAATTTTGACTAATACGATTTGAAAACGATGGAATGAATCGTCGCACTTATGTGGGGGTTTGCTATTAAAATCGAGTTACGATTATAGTAAATCATATGATCCGTAATGTGATTTTAATAGCAAACCTCCTAAGATCTTTCATTCAATTAAATATAATTAATTGCAAAGTTGCTGGATGATATAAAGCGGAGTATACTAGAAAACACACAAGTAAATAAGTTTTTCGGCAAAGTTAGAAGCATTTATTATGAAACATACTAATAATTCTTGGTTTCAAGATATGAATGAATTTTATTCTTCTTATAATTAATTTTATTTTATTTTTTCATTTAGGTAATCGGTATTGCAGAGAATAATCATATTCAACATGATACATACTTCTGTCTTTATTAATGATATCTATGATGCACCATGTGAACTCTGTTATGTAGTCTCGATTTGAGAATCGAATTAAAATCGATTTTTACACATTAAATTTTATGGCGCAACTAAATCTGAAGACCGACCTGTAATAAATAAATAAAATGATCGACAAGAACTATATAAAAAATAATTTATCGCGAAAATCATTTTGTTTAATAATACTATACAATTTATTTAATAATTTGTTTATTTTATTTTAGAATGAATATCAAAAATTTTACATTTTTTAAATAAAATTAAACATCTCTTGTACTGTTACACAACTATTTTCAGATTGAATATCTGTTCAGGAGATCAATCCTTAGGTCTGGGGCAAGTTTCCTATAGAGGGAATGTTAATATTTATGTATTTTTGAAAATTGATGACAAAAAATTAAATGCTTAAAATTTTGATTTTAATTCTTGTTCAGGGTGGGAACTTCTACCTTTTTGTAGAATCCAGAGAATTTAATTCATGGGTCGAGGCAAGTTCCTATAAAGGTATTTATTATAATTTCACCCATGATTTTCGTCTATAGATTGCTTCGCTAAATCTAGTAGATCAATATCAAAAGTTTAATAAACTGAGATTTGAGGTTCCTTTTTTTAACAAGGACATACAATCAATTTACATTCTCACAGTTCGTCTTCCTTTATTTTGCTTACATACACCTTAATCCTTTCCCTTTCTCCCTTGCGATATTATCGCTTTCGCTATTTTTACTCTAAAATTTCTTTATATCGTTGTAACTTCGTTAATGTCGCTATTTTAATTTTTTTCGTTTATTTTTATTTTTACCGAGTTATTAATTTTTCGTAGTTAATTGAATTGCGAAATTGTAGAGCGCCAATGTTGAGGCAATACTGATTAATTAATTTTATTGAATAATATTTACATCGTAATTATTTAATTGCTTATTAATAAAAAATACCTACTGCTTACATTTTAATTGTCTATAAATACATAAACGAAAGTATAGTACTCAACAGTATGTTTTATCAAGAATAACATAGTTATGGAAATTTTCAATCATCAAACTACAATATTTTCGGCATTTATTACGTCTCATCGAGAGAAATATTTTAAGAATCAATACTGGATTTAGAAACATATGATGTATTTTATTGAATTTTAATATACTTTCTCGGCTAGCAAAAAAAAAAGTATTCTAAGCACTTAATTCACTTAACTTTGGACATTTTTCATTTATTTTTGTATTTATGAATTCAAAGTATTTTACGTAAAAATAAAAAATTAAAAGTAATGAAGTAGTATTATCGTAAATAATAATGGTAACTGCAGATTTATTTTTGATGCAAAATACATTCTCAGTTAAAATAGTCAGTGACTCATTTTTAGCAATATAGTAATTAAGATCTTTCGAAAATTCTTCATCGTATATGGCATTTTGCTAAAAATTCCCACAGGCTTTGTTACTAATCTAAGCTTTCTGGGACGTATTTGTTACTCGTATTCGTTGTCTAGTGTATGTTTCACGCTGAAAGATTTTCTTTATACTTCCTTTTTCCGAAGAATGATAGTTTAAGAAATGATTTCATATCACAAATCATTTCCGTTGTTAAGGGTTTCTTATTTTGTATAAGGAAAATGATTCGGGATAAATTCTTTTGATGACAACTCGAAAGCACTTTCTTAGATGAGTGGCGCGTCAGATGATATAATTAAACCGTCGCTCTAAGCTTAATACTAAATGACACCATCAGAAAATGCTTTTCCTTTAACTTAAAACCTTTTACTAGCTACTTCATTAAACAAAAGCAGTTCATAAAAGGAAGTAGAACATAACCGGACAGACAGAAACTAAAGGGAATCGTTGATTATTCAACCCATATTATGGCTCTCTATCACTTGCTAGCCATTGTTAAAGGATAAATAAAAAATAAAATCAAAAATACTCACCATAAATGATTGTCAAAATTATATGTATCCGCACTAAATACCTGGACGCGAAAATTTGAACATTAAGGATCCAATATCTGCTGTAGAAATACCCTATTAGAATGATAAAAGAAAAATGTTAGAATTAATATCTTAGTAAATATCGAACGAGTAAGAATTCGTGCTTAGGGCGGTGGAGTCAAATCTTAATTATTAAAATAACCACCTTCAACTGTAGAATGATCTCGTGTTAATAAATCATCAATAAAGCGGTTCAGGAAAGTTTAATGTCGCAATAAACAGCATATGAATAATTGATCTTAAAGAATAAAAAGCAATAGGTGATTGTTTGGAATAAACTTCTTTTCTATCTTACGACATTAGTTAATTTTTTCTTATTATGAAATTTTAATTTTTTTTTTTTAAGAAAAATCTGTTAATCTTGATCAGGGCTTTACCGAAAAATTATGTTTTCGATGTTTATACTTCTTTATAATTGACAAATTTAGATGCAAGAATTTATACTGTATGTATATTTTTATAGTAGTGACGTATCTTATTTTTTTTATTTTAGATTTACAGTACAATAATATAAGATTCTTCTAATAGATTACAATTGTCAAATAGTTATTCAATACAACTATTAATTATTACAATAACAAAATCAAATTGCCAAAAATTAAAGAAATCTAGTAATGAAAACCCGAGAGCGATTTCTTACCATTCTGAAATGATTTTAATCAATCCTGAAGGAAAAGTAATAGCTTTTGCAGCTCGACCCATATGATGATTTAATTTACAAACAAAATTTGTATATCTCATTTCGAGAGGAAACTTGTATTAAAACAATTAATAGTGGTTGAAAAGGAAAGAATCCTAATAAACGTTAAAACTATGTATAGTCCTATAACAAAAATTATTATTGAAGATTTTTTTTATTTTATAGTATAATTTATATTATTTTATAATAAATTTACTATTAACGAAGCTATATTTTCTTTCTTTAATAACTTTGGATCCTTCTTATAATTTTCATTTCAATTTTTCGAAAATACTCCGAATATCTGTCATTTTCACAAAATAGATCGCTTTTTTTTAAAAAAAAAAATCATTAACACTCCGAAATTAATAAATTAAACCTTCTAAATAAATTAAACTTTTTTTTACGTGAGTTTTGAAAAAAACGAGGTATTTTATGTTTCTTAAAGTTATCATGTACCCATTCAACTTTACTGCGTTATGTTAATAGAGTACAAGTTATTAAATTTTAAAGATTTCGGTTATTATATTAGAATTTTATTAGAAAAATTGCTCGCAAAACCGTAGTTAAAATGATCGTCAAAAATCTCTAATAGTAATTTTACTATAGGATTTTTGTTAAACTGTTTCTTACAGCATACTTGTTATTTCCGAAAAATATATAATATAAGAACGATTGGTTCGCGATTTATATTCATTAGTTTGCATAAGAAAAAATTATAATCCATCCAATTGACTTAATTACTTGACAAAACTCATAAACTTCCTTGTTTGGAACGTAAAGTTGATTTTGTAAAAAATAATAGCGAAATTAATTGATTTAATACTGCGTTCAATTTATTTTATTTTAATTAAAATATAACGCGATAAAAAATAAAAAAATGTCAAAAACAAATAATAAATTCTAGGAACACGAAAATTATTTTGCTTTATAAACATTTTATTTATCTATTATTATCATATTTATTGTCCTAAATTATCCGTCCAGACTTCTCACAAAGCCAAAGAAACCCGCCCCAAAATTAATACCACATTCAACTCGGTCTCGATCCGTCAACAAATTCTTCTACGGTGGCCGGTGGCCTTACTAGATTGTATTGTTAAAATTAATTCAACTGAATTGCGTTTTTATTGGAAAGAAAGCAATATTATTTGATTGACTTTTGTTCTTCTCTCGTGTAGGATTCAACTCTAAGGTCGTAATTAT